TGTGTAGACCAGGCACCACTCTGTGGCAGTGTTTGGGAACTACACTTTCACCGATAGCTTGGTGTTAGGAGAAAGCGAGTCGTCACTCTTTACCACTGAATGCAGTGTGGAAGGGTAACTCATCCCCTTTTCTCTCCTTCCTGCCTTCTTTTCCTCTTTAATGTAGCTTCTTTGACTGAGGAGATACTGAGTTGGCAGTTCTCCTTAGGAGGCCAGCCCAACCTCCTGTTATACAATCCGGTGGCATGTAAGCAGGATTATCCTGCTTATCCCAGCATAATATTCTACTTTTGCATTATTAAGAGCTGCTAACAAACTTACCCAGACCAATTTTTCTTTTTTTGGGGTTGGGAGACGGGGTCTTGCTTTGTTGCTCAGGCTGCAGTGTAGTGGTGCCATCCTGGCTCACTGCAGCCTCAACCTTCTGGGCTCAAGGAATCCCCCTACCTCAGTCTCCCACCTCAGCCTCCTGAGTAGCTGGGACTATAGGCGCATGTCACCAAGCCTGGCTAATTTATTTTTTGTAGAGATGAGGGTCTTGCTCTGTTGCCCAGGCTTGCCAGACCAGATTTTTATCTCTGTCTGAATGGGCTAGCTTCCCTAATTCTAAATGTTTCTCCATATCTCCAAACAACTTTAAAGAAACTGAAGTTTATTTGCCCCACCATACTACAGGGAAGGCATGCTCCCCTTTGAATGGGGGTATTCCCTGTCTTCTATCTAGGATCCTTCTGCACACATTCTTTCATGTCTATCAGGAAACACATGCTCTCTCCATCCTCCACCCTTCCTTTCCCCTCAGTGTACTCTTTTGAACCCTTGGGTTCACCCTCCTGCCTGAACCTCTACTGTCTAGCTCAGTGCAATACTGTGCTTTTTTTTTTTTCCCCTTGCTTTCTGCTACAGAACATCCTTTCTAGGTTGTGGTTGGTAACTTTTTATAACTTCAGGAGAGAGACTATTTTCTTTTCTAGCAAATTGCTGAGGCCTTGTGTTTATAAGTGAATGCACAACACAGTTCCTATACATAACTGAAGTATTAACTGCCTTAACTTCTCTTGCCTTCTGAACAAGCATGTATTGGCATTTCATGCTGTTTCCATTCTTTGGCTTGGCCATAGATTTAAAATGCCCCAATCCCTCTTGCCCCCAGTAATAGCTCAACTACTGATTGTTGTATAAAACACCCTGGGCTCTGAAAGTATGGAATACTTAGTAGGTGCTCCATACGTGGTCATTAAACAAATGAATGAGTGAAATCAACAGAGTAGGACAATTGACCAAAGGGTTTCAAGTAGTGGGAAATGAGGCTTTGAATGGTGAACAACACAGATCCAACTGGAGGGCTTTGCATACTACTTCTTTGCAAACTTCGTAAACAAACTGTGGAATCTTATAAGAAGCAGGGAGCCATTTTATTTACATATCCTATAGAGATATAATTCATATATGTACAAAAAGTGTATATATATTAAATGTACGGCTTGATGGTTTTTTACTTATGTAAATTACCCGTGTAGTTGCTGCTCAGTTCCAGAGAATATTTCCAGAACTCCAGATGGGGAGCTTTCATCTTGATTCACAGTATTCGCATACCAAGTCCCAGAGGTCATGTGGTTGGTCTGAAGTGTAACTATGACTGGAATTATTACAGCTACTCTTAATCTTAGCAATTCTTTATACTTGAATAAAAAACACCAATTCGGACCATTTAACTGCATGACAAAAATAATGGTTATGATTGTGGTCAACATTTATTAATCAGTAGCATACTTGATTTTATCTGTTTCACAGGATTTTGCTCCTATCACTGTTTTACAGATGCTGAAGATTAGACAGGGAAAGTGATTTGCCTCAGGTCCCACAACTAGAGAGTGGCAGAGTTAGGATTAAACCCAGGACTGTTCTTCACTAGGATTGATTACTTACTGGTGATTTGTTGCCTCAAATATCTGGTACCCAAGTTTACGTAACAAAAATGTTGTCTTTTCGGTGGGAGGTGATGCTTGTATTCGTTACCTGCATACAGTGAATGATCTTCTTTGGGATATTCTGACCTGTGGCTTATTAGAATTTTGAGAAGGAAAGAGATTTTTGCTTCTATCATAGGCCCAGAGTGATGTTTCGTAGGAGGAAGAATCTTTCAATGCAGATGGCTCTTTATAACATACATGTAGCCAATAGATGATGGTCTCTATAAATAAAGTATGAAGATAGGACACAGCAAAGATTAGGCATGAACCTAAATATCTAAAATCCCAACAATTAATTTGTCTTAAATATTAATGAGTGGAATAAATGCATGTAGCAATATGGCAAAATTCTTGTAATATTAAGATTGTGTTTCAAGAGTTAAGACATCCAAGGAAATATCCATAACTAGTAGAGCTAAAACAGTTAAAGTTGCAACAATCTTATACCAACAGTCAAACCAGCACTCTTTTGTACATGTTAATATCTTAATTTAATCTCACAATGCATAGAACCAGCACATTTAAAGAATTCTTACTATTGTGTATGGCTTGGACATTTGTAAAAAATGTTTTTAACATTTGTTTATTATATTTTTAGCTAAAACCGGTAGGGACAGTGTAGTACTTAGAGGCATCAACTGGGAGTAGTCAGTGAAATTCGGGTTTTACAGGATAAAAGCACTGCTGTTGGTAAACGGTTCTTTTACACTTTGTTCAATAAATCATGCATTTAAGTGAAACATTTAAAAAAGAAATAGGATTATAGATATGTTATTGTGTGATTATTCTTTAAAATTTTAATTTTAATTAAAAACAATTTTTTTTTTAAGAGACAGGATGTTATTCTGTCCCCCCGTCTGGAGTAGTGTGGCATGATCATAGCTCACTGTAACCCCGAACTTCTGGGCTCAAGCAATCCATCTGTCTCAGCCTCAAGCAGCTAGGACTACAGGTGTACCCCACCACTTCTGGCTAAGTTTTAAATTTTTTGTAGAAATGCGGTCTTGCCTGTTGCCCAGCCTGGTCTGGAACTCCTGGGCTTAGGTGATTTTCACAAAGTGTTAGGATTATAGGCATGGGCCGCCACGTCTGTCCTTAAAGTTACTCTTAAGATTTAAACAAAATGTGGAAGGGTCCGTCAAAAAAAGTACATAAAGTCATGGTATCAGGCAGATTAGTATATCCCATCCCCAAACCAGGGGTTTCTTTTCTGTCCTGTTCAGAGTGCTTATTTCTGAGTAGCTCTCGGGTGTTTGCATAGATCACCTCGAATCCTGTGTTTATAGAGCCAGGAACCTTTTTGCCTGAAGAAGGCTGAACACCTTTGATGCTGGTTCCTAGCATTAAGCTGTCTCCTTCCGGATCATTCCTTCAGATTTTGTAATGAGCCAGTGGGAAAATGGGCTTTGAGGAAGTCATTCCAAAGTAGGTCAAAGGAGATACTCAGAACAAAAGGAGGATGATGATGGTGTCCTAGTTAGTGCCCTTTTGTAAAAAGAAGGAAATGCACTCTCTCAGATTATTGTTGTTTTCTTTTTTAAACCTTTTTCTTTTTTGAAGACAGGGTCTCATCCTGTCACTGAGGCTAGAATGCAGTGGTATGATGGTGGCTCACTGCAGCCTTGACCTTCTAGGCTCAGGTGATCCTTTCACCTCAGTCTCCTGTGTAGTTGATTATTTTAAACCCTTTTAAAATGGAAATGTAGACTGAGATTCTTCCCTTCTTACTTGGATACTTTAACTGTCCTTTTTTTTTTTTTTTTTTTTTAATGGTAATGACTTCAATAGTTGGGAGGCTTTGATCAAAGAAGAGAGAAATAGAATTTAAGATAAACAACAAAAGATATCATGAAAGAATAAGTTCGAGGTTCCTACAAATGAAAAAATTCTGAAATGGTATTTTCTTACCATAGTATATAAGACAGTTGAAAGAGGAATAAGACAAAGTGTGAGAAAAGAAAGGTGGAAGATGGAATGTTCCAGGCCTCTGTGTTGTCTCCATTTCTTTCCAGCTATTTGTCTTCTTAGGACTGATGATTATAATTAGGTTGCTAAATCAAATAGATCTGATTATAATGTACTGTGTTTTCTATTTTTTCTGGAGTTTGAGATCTAGATTCTTTTTTTTTTTTTTTTTTTTTTTTTGAGACGGAGTTTCGCTCTTGTTACCCAGGCTGGAGTGCAATGGCACGATCTCGGCTCACCACAACCTCCGCCTCCTGAGTTCAAGCAATTCTCCTGCCTCAGCCTCCTGAGTAGCTGGGACTACAGGCACACGCCACCATGCCCAGCTAAGTTTTTGTATTTTTAGTAGAGACGGGGTTTCACCCTGTTGACCAGGATGGTCTTGATCTCTCGACCTCGGATCTACCCGCCTCGGCCTCCCAAAGTGCTGGGATTACAGGCTTGAGCCACCGCGCCCGGCCGAGATCTAGATTCTTAACGTTAAATAGTTATGAAGAAAGTTGTGGTAGATCTTTTGCAATCTTGCATATTTCAGATATGAAAATTTAGAGATACCTAGTACCTTTTCTTCACTTGAAGGTGCTCATGAGAGACTTCATTTGATGGGGAATTGACATACCAGATAAACCCTAGTACAGTGAAAATGTTTTGACTAGTTCTGGGTAAGTGGAATTTGTTAAGCGAAGTTACATTGGTACATTGGTAGGCAGGTAATCATAAATTTTATTTTATTTTTCTGTTTATTTTTATTTCTGAGACAGGGTCTTTTTCTGTCACCCAGGTTGGAGTACAGTGGCACAATCATGGTTCATTGCGGCCCCAACTACCTGGGCCCAAGCCATCCTCCCACATAGCAGAGACCACAGGTGCACACCACCATGTCAGCTAATTTTTTAATGTATTGTTTTTAGAGATAGAGTCTTGCTATGCTGCCCAGGCTGGTCTCAACCTCCTGGCCCCAAGTGGTCTTCCTACCTCAGCCTCCCAAAGCACTAGGATTACAGGTGTGAGTTACCATGCCTTGCCATAAATTTTAAAATAAGGTTTTTTCTTTTCTTGCAGTCCTATTTTGTAACAGATTATGATCCAACCATTGAAGATTCTTACACAAAGCAGTGTGTGATAGATGACAGAGCAGCGCGGCTAGATAGTAAGTAAATTTCCTTTATTTGATAATTTGCATATCATTTTTTAAAAAAGCAAGCTCTGATGTTTTGCTAGGTTAAATAATACGTTTGAAATATTATAGGATCTGGAATATTAGCCCATGTCATTTCTAAGTTTTGACTGATGAGTCCTCATAATGGGCAATTTAATATTCTTCAGTAAATGAAAAGTTAAACAGTATTTGTATTGATCTGGTTCTGGGGAAACTAGTCTCATTGTAGTTTGTTGAAGTTGTATTTACTGGGGCAACTGGAAAAAACATGTCAGGTCTCAACTCTTCCTACCTTTTGGCAAAGGTTAAAATGGATGAAGTGAATATAGAAAAGGTTCAGTATTTGTTACTTTACTTAGAATTTATAGCACGGAGGCTTTAACAAATACTGTTTTGTGTCTAAACATTCCACCTGTCCACAAATGAAAGCCCGGTCTTCTATCTAATATGTATGGCTCTTCTATTGACAGAGATCAAAAATTATATTAGCACCTGCACCTAAGTATGTTACTGGGGGGCGGTGATTATAACTCAGATTTCTGTCTTGAATTCACAGGTATCTTTTCAGTATTTTCCTTGGAGGGGATAAACATTCAAGTGATTTTAGAGGTTATGTGACTCCATCTGATTAAATGTGTTTGATGTTTTTAAGCTTCTAATTAATATGGTAATATATTCTAACCACAAACTCAACAAGTATTGATGAAGATAAACTCTGTAACTGTCTGCCATTAGAATATATTTGTCTTTAGTATTGAGAATAAAGTACTAAGAAAGGAATGCCTTTTCTGTATTATACCAAGTACGAGGCTCTCTAGAGGACCCACATGAATTGGGTTTGCCCTTGCGGGGAAGCAGTTTATAAAATGAAAGCACAGGCATAATTATATTTGTTGTTTTTTCTTTAGTTTTGGATACAGCAGGACAAGAAGAGTTTGGAGCCATGAGAGAACAATATATGAGGACTGGCGAGGGCTTCCTGTTGGTCTTTTCAGTCACAGATAGAGGCAGGTTTGTACCAAATTAGAATGTAGATTCACTGTTCTTGTCTAGATCACTAGACTTTATTGAATTTGGACTTTGGTGTTTTTTTATAGCAAAAGAAAAAATAAGAAAGTACTAAATGGGCATGAGACTTGCTGAATTTTGATACTTGATGAAATTGATTAATTTGTTTTTGATTTTTTTTTTTAAGTTTTGAAGAAATCTATAAGTTTCAAAGACAAATTCTCAGAGTAAAGGATCGTGATGAGTTTCCAATGATTTTAATTGGTAATAAAGCAGATCTGGATCATCAAAGACAGGTGAGAAGGGATTTCACTCTTGGGAAACCAATTGTTTATGATAATGTAAGTGAACTGATAGATTTAAGGAAATAATTCAAAGTCTGGTAAAAAAATGCTGTGCTCCATGCCACTTAAGTGTTTATATCTGAGTCTGGCACACTGTATTTACAGAAGTCACAACGGTGAAAAATAAAAAGAAGTAGATTTAGGGAAATTAAATTTTCAAATAGTTTTACACAAAATTTTAGAAGACTTTATGAGCCTGCAGGTATTTGAACCAGCTTCATTCACATGTAATAATTTCTTGGATAACATACAAAAAGCTAACTTAGTTGGCTAATTTTAAAGTTACCCCAAAGGCCTCAGTTATTCATTGCTAATACTAAATTAACTTCACTTAGAGAATGGCTTTCATTTAAATTACAATATTTGGATTTTTCCTAAGTCACTTTAATGACTGAATTTCTAAATTAATTCTTTACATTGGCTAGTTCTAACACCAGTAATTTTTAAGAAAAGAATACTTTTAGGTGGGGCGCGGTGGCTTGTGCTTAAAATCCTAGCACTTTGGGAGGCTGAGGCGGGCAGATCACGAGGTCATAAGTGCAATACCAATCTGGCCAAGATAGTGAAACCCCATCTCCACTAAAAATAAAAAAATTAGCTGGGTGTGGTGGTGTGCGTCTGTAATCCCAGCTACTTGGGAGGCTGAGGCTGAATAATTGTGAACCCAGGAGGTGGAGGTTGCAGTGAGCCGAGGTCACACCATTGTACTCCAGCCCGAGTGAGAGTGTGAGACTCTGTCTCAAAAGAAAAAGAAAAGAATATTTTTAGTATTTAGTTGCAGGCTAAATACTTATTCTCACCTGTTATTTACTCACTTATTGAAATTTTATTAGTTAAAACGATTTTTTTGGTAACACTATACATTCATCCTTTTTGTGGGGGAGGGAAACAAGGTCAGTTGTATATTAATGCAGCCTGTACATTTGTATTAATTCATTCTCATGCTGCTATAAGGACATACCCAAGACTGAGTAATTTATAAAGAAAAAGAGATTTAATGGACTCACAGTTTCACATGGATGGGGAGACCTCACAATCATGGCAGAAGGCGAAGGAGGAGCAAAGGCATGTCTCACATGGCGGCAGGCAAGAGAGCATGTGCAGGGGAACTGCCCTTTATAAAACCATCAGATCTTGTGAGACTTGCTCACTATCATGAGAACAGGATTGGGGAAACCACTGATGGTTCAGTTATCTCCTGCCTGGTCCCTCCCATGACATGTGGAGATTATGGGAACTACAGTTCAAGATGAGATTTGGGTGGGGACACAGCCAAACCATATCAGTGTTATATGGGCCGTTTTTTTTTTTTTTTTAAAGGTCTTTAACCTCTGCCCCAATCTGGAATGTATTGTTTAAATGGTTTCTTTTGTTGGTATTTAAGTATTCTTGTTTTTATATTATGTTGTATTTACAGATTCTTAGGATTTTTGTTGGAAAAGTGCAAACATCAGGAAAAATTGGTTGATAAACAGCTTTGAGGGCAGCCTTCTGTTTTGTAACTGTCTTTGATTTGAGCTGTATACATAAAATTTTATTGGCGCATACCAGATTTCAAATACCGACTTAAGAGAAAATGATATATTATCCTAATGCTAACATTTGGAAATGTTCACTGATGAAGCTTCGTAAAGAATAAATTTTCCTGTGAGATCTCTTTCGAATCTGAGTTATAAAGTTAGGGTGAAAAAATTTGTTCATTTCAAATCAGTATAAACTGATTGAAATAATTAAGAGTATGGCTTGCTAACATTATAAACCTAGCATAGATAGTTCATCTTTTTTTTTAGATTTAATTTTGTTGTTTTTTTAGACCATTTCATTGAGGTTTCTAAACCTGATTATACTTATTGATATTGCCCAGTGGACCCTGCCTATAGCTCTTCTCAGTTCTTTCTAGTACTAGAAACTCTATATGCCATTGCATCTGGGAAGTAATGGAAAGTAGATGTGCAGTGAAGGAGTTCTCTTCCCCATCTCTCACTGACTTCTGCCTCATCCCGTATGCTTCCTGCCCTGATTATAGAAATAAGATCTTTCTCAGACCTTCTCATAGTGGTAGCTCCAATAAAGGAATAGGTAGGAGACCTAGCATAGGTGGAGATCTCCTGTGAGGTAGGCAGTGGCAGATTAGGGAGAGGAGGATGGTCACTAGAACCCAAAGAGACTCTGCCATTACCAGCTTGGGACAGGGTCTATATGAGTTATTTTTAAGTTGTCTTTATACCAGATTGAGGATCCCTAGCCCAAAAATCTGAAATCTGAAATGCTCCAAAATCTGAAACTTTTTGAGAGCCAATATGATTCCACAAGTGGAAAATTTCACACCTGACCTCATGTGATACCACAGTCAAAACACAGTCAAAACTTTGTTTCATGTACAAAATTATTTAAAATATTGTATAAAATTATCTTCAGGCTATGTGTATAAAGTGTATATGAAAAGTAAATGAATTTTGTGTTTAGACTTGGGTTCCATCCCCAAGAAACAACATTATGTATATGCAAATACTGTATTCTAAAATCAAAAAAATTTCAAAATCCCAAACACTTCTGGTCCCATGCATTTTGGATAAGGGATATTCAACCTATATTGAAGATTGCCAGAATGTGGTATGCACTGTCCATCTGTCTGCAGACAGTCAACATATTGTGGCACTGGCTTTGTTTGTATATCATTGGATTATAATTTTTTTCATGGAATTTTTTTTTTCTTTTTGTACAAGTGGGAGAACAATATAGGAAATGATTTCCATATTTCTCTCACCCTAAAGATATGTAGTGTTAACTTGGAGTAAGTTATTTTGTACTTGTTTTTCTGTCTAAACCATATAAATAGACATAAATTATGTATATTCTGAAAAGTGTAGATGTATATATATCCAAGGGAGAAAAGCAAGTGCCTGAAATCCAATTGTTTAGTTTTCTGCGCATTTATAGAGTCTACTCTGTGAAGGATAGGCACAAAGAAAAGATTCATTCCTCCCTATGCTTTTTCTTCCTTTGCACCTGTACTCAGGCATGTTGACTACTCTTCAAAAGTCATGACCACAGCCTTTAGTGCTGACTAGAAATCCTACATTTCCCTAGTCCACTTATTTCCCATTTGTTTGGATAATTTTTACATACTTTCTCATTCTTCTTCAACCTATAGCGCTTTCTTCTTTTATCTCACTTTCAGTTGATGATACATATGTTTTCCTGTTTCAGTGAGAGATTTTTACATGTCCTTACCTCCATATCTACTAACCTGAGTGCACAGGTACCCCATCAAGTTCACTTTCCTCCACTTTCATGGATAAACTGTTCCTCTGTCTATGACCAGCTTCTCCATGAGATACTGGATACTGTTCCTTCTCACCAACTCATGGACATTACCCCAGCAGTTGTTCTATTTCAGGTGAACATTTCTACATGATAATTCCCATCAGCATACAACATGCTACAGTGTCTCTCATCTTTAAAACCAAAAACTACAGCAAACCTTTTTAATCTCACATTCCCCTCTGAGTATATTTTCTCTGCCCCTCTTTAATAGCAAAACTCCTGAAACTTGCTTTCTCTACTTTTTCTCCTGCCATTCTTGATTGTACTGACATCAGATATTCACGCTACCATCAGGATCAACAATTGGATGAATGTCAGTAACATTTGACATGGTTGATCACTGCCTTTTTTTGGAAACACTTTCTCTACTAAGCTCTGAGTTAGTATTTCCTATTGCTCCAGTTTTCCCAGTGTCCTTTGTTGGCACTTCTTGGTCTGCTTGTCTCTCTAAGGTATCTTGGGCTCTGGATGTGCAAAGACAAACATGCCTTATCTCCTACCCTCAGGGGACATGCTATTGAAATTGAGATACTATAGAGCATAGTATACTATAGATGCTGTAGTAGAGGTTTTTACCTTTTTAAAGTCTCTTCTCAATTAAAGGTGATGGTCTAGAATGTCTTGACACCTTTACTTGTTCTGTCAAGTCAACTTGGACAGACCACAGGGATGCTGTTAAAGCTTCTTTCCCCTCTTCAGAGATGTTTAGTTTTTGATCATCTCTAGGTTCTTAGTAACCAGTCTGGCTTGCTCTCTGTTGCTGACTCGGTTATTTTTTTTTTGTCTTTGTCTTAGACATGATCCTTTGTAGTTTCTCTACCTTCTTGCATGTTTCCTTATAGATAATAAATACCAGTTCTCCTTGTTCTTTGAATTTGTGGATCAGCACTGGCCATTTCTACCACTGGCTCTGAGATTCTGAACCCCACCAGGGAGGATAGATCATAGAGAAGAGGCTTTGCTTGCTTGCTTGCTTGCTTGTGGCTTCCGTATCTCTGAGGACTGGGCTGCTGCTTTCATCTTTTCATCCATCCATTATTTACTGAACACGTTTTCTAGGCAGTGATGATGAAGCAGTAGACAGAAAAGTTGCTGAAGTTTATGTTAAATAAAACGAGATCTGTAGAATTTGAATGATTGTTTAGCGTTACCAGCCATCTGGTCCTTTAGAGATATGCCAGTCATTTTGTTTATTCTGCTAAAGGTGTAGGAAGAAAACATAGGTAAATGATTTGCTTGCCTTTGCTAAAATATAAAAGTAGGTGAATATAACAACACATTGAATATGAAATTTAATAGTATGTGGGCTTAGTAGAATTTCATGATATATTTGATTTCAGGTTCTTTGTCCTCAACTCAGCCCTGTCTGGACAGAGATCAACTGTTTTTGCTTTTTTGTCTTTACTACCTTTGTCTCCTGGCTTACCTTGGTTGTTCCCTCTTTTTTCTCCTTGTTGCTTTATTATTAATGGTCACTATTAATTTGAGAAAATAACTCATTATACTTAAAATAATAGACAGCTAAGTATATCAACCCAGACTCCTATTTGTCAGTACATTTGACCACAGTGTGTCCCCTACAGGCTCCTAGGAAAAAGAACCCCTGCTTCTCAAATAATAGAGGG